AGGCGTGTTTCATGAAACAGAGTTGAGGTATATCCGTCTTTAATTATGAGCTGCTAACCAGAGAGAATGCAACCACTTATCAACACCCGCCGCCTACAAGGATCCTCTTAACCGAATAGCGTGATTAACTAACATTCCCACAGCTGAAAATCCCTTCGAGGGACAGCAATAAGTCTACGGATTTACAACGCTAAAATCTGAGGTTTGATTCCACGTGGTGAACAAGCAGCTAGCCCAGTGTGGCGCTACTTTGAAAAAATTATGATATTGGATTGATTTAATTTCTACCTGATTGTTTGTGACATGATAATCACCTTTTTAGACCTGAACTGAGATAGTGTGTTGACAATTAAGTTACTGACTACTCATCAATAAAAACATAGGATTAATATAGCAATCAGATATTTGATGTTATTATAGGAATACAATAATTAAAATTAAATAGAAAATCATTTGATAGATTGTCAGTAAAACGAGCAGAAAATATCGGTTCAATGAGTTATCGTTTTCACTACCCTACGAAAGAATGTTAAGTAACATAAAATATGTTTCATAGCACAATTGGCATTTTTTATGGAAACTGTTTCTATTATCATGTTAAACATTTGCACGTAAGGTAGAAATATTTTCCAGTATGAGCATAAAAACTTTGCTTAGTCAGTCTATGACACAAGCCAAAGTAAACTGAAAACAGAAATCAAGGATACTGATATTCAAAATTGTTTCTATGTAATTATTAAAAGTCTTTTGAACCAGAACGGTTAAAATCTGGAAATTGCCAAAAATACAAATACGTGTTATATCACATTAGAGATTACATGTCACCTGAAAAATTGTCAGGCAGCATTACAAATTATTTCAATTTTCTTTTCATACAGTTGTTGTTTGTAATTAAGCACAAAGCTACACAATGAGCTATCTGTGCTCTGCCCACCACGGGCATCAAAACACGGATTCTAGCGTTGTAAGTCCGCAGACATACCACTGTGTGCCACTAGGGGGCCTTTTCATACAGAGAACAGACTTTGATAGAAATTATATTTCATATCCACTTAGATTATTTTCAAACAGAAAAAGAAAGATTCACGCAGAGAGGTCTTTCTACAATGTTATGTTTGTCATTAAATGTTTTTGGTTTAATGAAAGATGTACAGAAAGGGGTTTTAACAGGTTGTTTTATAATATTCCAGAGAAATCTTCCACGAAACTCATTAATGTATGTAGATACGTATGGTTTCTAAGTCGTCACTTAGAATGTAAGATAAACTATTGGTGTGTAGTTCATTGAACCGTTCTTTTCAGAGACAACTTAGCTCTTATTAGATTTGTATAAAGACAATTACAATGTTAAACAAATCATACAGAATTTTACACATAATACATTATTTCGTTTGAGGCCATTGTTATTGCATTTACAATTTATTAATGATATTGGGTATGACTATAAAACCCACAAAGCAGTATTTTGCTAAAATGATAATGTAATGTTGTGTGTTGTGGATCATTGTAGTGCTGATACCATATTTTTGATTAGTTGGTGGAAAAGGAGAAAAGTGCAACACAAGCTTTCTGATGTTGTGTGGTGAGTTACATAATATCGAAGGAAGTTGAAGAGGTATTCCATGAAAATTATAGTTTAATGTTTAAGGTAGACTCGGAAGCATGAAAATGGGTCGTAACATAATCTCACCCAAGAAGTCTAGTTCTTGCTGTTTGGTCAATAATAATCACTCTGGCTACTATTATAAAGAACACGTGGACTCCTTGATCAGTGAACTGGCAATTCCATACATCAATATTATGCAGATAGTGGTCAGCTAAGTGGTGTTGCTGAAGCTCCATGGTATTGTCTGGCCTGTCTAAATAGAGCCTTTCAGTTGTGAGCTGTCACTTCACTGTGGCTGTCATACCTCGAAAACCAAAAATCACTACACAAATAGCCAAATCTTTCCAAGAATAACTTATATGTACAACTAACTATAGAATTCCTTTCAGTTGCAGGAATTAAGGTTTGAAGTAGGTTGATAAGTAAATATTTTGTTTTATTTTTATAATTCAATGGTAATATATACTGTTAATATTATATCAGTTTCTCTAATTGTGGGGGCTAGTGAAACTGTAATAGTCCTTCCAGTATGGTACAAGTGACCTGAAGCAATATTAAGGAAGATATTAACAGAACCTACTCCTTCCAACTCATGTGCATTCAATCGACTCCACTAAATGCTACAGTTACATCGATTAATAGAAATGACATCATATAGATCCCAGACCATAAAGTATGATGCCATGCATACACACACAAAAACTTGAAGAAAAGTAGACCAATATATAATATATTGTTTGATAATTAAGAAACTGGTGTTTTTAAATTCAGACATCAATAACAGGTACACAGGTCTGTTAGTTGCATAAATACTTGACCTATTTGATAGCTTGAATATCAATTTAGCTTATTCTTTATATATTTATTATTTTTACTGAAATTGTTTTGACAAACATTGTCACAAACAGTCGTTGTATAAGAACAGATTGTGCTTCCATCTAGCGATAAGAAACGAAACTGTTATTTATGAAATATGCAAATAGTATATGCTTATAAACTGAACTCACTACTAAGTAGTAATTTTCCTTTTTATCATTTCCCCACAAAAATATGTTTGGTAGAAGAACAGAATAATATTACTGTTATACAAGCTGTGAAACACTCGATGATGGCAATTAGATGCTCAACTTTATCAGTTATTTGTAAGCATCATACAGTAATAGATTGAATGTGGCGGCCATTATTTTGTCGGTCCATTCCTACATACTTAGAATTTGCAGTTCATCATACAGTATTTAATTTCAAGGAAATACTCTGTTTGGATCAACATATTCACAATTACCTAAGTTATATTGAGTAATGTCCTTATCTTGAAAGAATGTAAATAATATACATAAAAAGATTTTATAGTCCATTTTTTATATTCAGTTTTATTCTTAATTATATATCTACATGTATCTACAACTCAGTGTAGGATTTTTGTGTAACTTTTTACCCATTTATCAATAGAGAGGTGTTTCTCACACTCAACGATATATGCATGATACATCATTGGGCAACATTCTAGGTACTATATATTCTAAGTTTACTGAATTAGCATTTTATTGTTATTGTATACATACATGCACAATACTACACAAAATTATTTGCATAACTTATTTTGAATGACCATTTGCATTATCTTCTTAGGTTTAAAGCTCAGCAATTCTGAGAGTTCCAAAAACCTTTTTATTTCTACAGAATTTAGTACAAAATTTAAATATTTGAAACCTCTAAAATTATCTTTTTCTTTTGAATGAATATTCGCATGTCCATGCCAATTTTGACATAAATCGTGCAGACAATCCTAAGATCTGGTCTCAAACCCCCCTGATCCCTAATTTTTAGGACCCTCTTACGACTCTGTTCGGAAAACTAATCTTTATTTGTATGCTATAGGAGTCTACACACTAAATTTTAGGCCGTAACTTTAAAACTTGTGAAAGGAATTTAAAGATCAAATAAAGTAAATTGTTTCTTGATAAACGTCATCTTTTTTTTCGATGAATATTATTAAATTTATTAATATATGTTTAAGCTTTAAGATTACAAACAATCGTAAATATTTTAAGAGTTGATAAAATAAAGCATTTTTCAAATTGTAAGTAATGCTCGTTATAACACATATTATATATTCCATGGACTATTATGATTATGGTTTTTTTCTTGCTTTTAATTCCATAGTTTTGGAATTTATTGATAGTTACGTCATTGTTGAGGTGTTCCCTTGCTGGAGGTATTTGCTCCAGTCTTTAATAAACTAATAATATATTTATTGAAACATATCAAATTACTAGTTTTTTTTTGTAATGGAAGTTACACGCCGATTAGTTAAACTCCCTAATAAGAAGATATATATACTGATGGTGATTTTTGTAACTTTTCAACCTTTATAAGTGTGTATTTACCTCTCAAGTAGTATTTATTACATCATATTGTTATCGAAAAATAGTTGCTCGTATTACATCGTTAATCTATATGTAAAATATTTACTCATTTTCGAAGACGTATCGTGTGTCTTTAGTTTGTGGAGAAGTTTGTTTGTTTAGAATTAAGCACAAAGCTACACAACGAGCTATCTGTTCTCTGCCAACCACGGGCATCGAAACCCGGTTTTGGGGTGTGAGTCCGCAGACATACCGCTGTGCCACTGGGGGACATTTGGAGAAGTACTTTTACCTTCCAACATAATTTTTACCATAATAATCCACCCGAAGCTCTCTTAAAAAGTAATATATTAAAAAATTGTTTGTTTGTAATTAAGCACAAAGCCACACTATGGGCTATCTGTGCTCTGCCCACCACGGATATCGAAACCCGGATTCTAGCGTTGTAAGTCCGCAGACATACCGCTGTGCCACTGGGGGGCATATTAAAGAACAAACTATTAATTAGTTGTTTCACTTAATTTTAAATCTATGTTCAAGAAATCTAGAAATAGCTCTTTAAACGTAAGCTAAACGTTATTTTTTCGTGTAAGCTGAATACACCGTTAGGTACTTTGTGCATGAGCTTGAGCTCCCTTAATATATGTAAATATATGCAAATTTAGCAAAATATATTTCTAATTAAATTTTACCCAAATTAAGATTGTTTATTTCATTTGATGTTAAACATAAAGTTACATAATGGGGTGTCTGTGTTGTATCCACCACAGGTACTTAAACCAATTTCTAGCGCCATAAGCCCTCAGACTTATCGTTAAGACATCGAGAGGCAGTTAAAATTGAACTTATGTAGTAATGTTGACTTCATTTGTTAAATTGCAGATAATTAAAAGTTATTCCTTTATAATATAACTTTGTACAAAAATAAAAACTTTAAGATATTTCAGAATTAGTAAAACAAAAACGTCAGTGTTAACAAAATAAAATAGCAATAATAATTAGTAAAACGAAGAGGTTGTATGAACCAGAACAAATTTATTTTGTCACAAAATAGCAAAAGATACGAACCTACAATAAATATACAAACATTAATACCAATAATAACATGTGCAGATACATCGTTTTAGGTTACTCTAAGTGAAGTATTTCACCTCAAATGAAATTACTACTTCATATAGTCGAAATGGTTTCCCATATGCTAGACATAATTTCATAGAAACAAAATGCTCAGTTTGGATTGAAAATGAAATGAATCAAAATATGAATTTTTATTACATCTCATAACTTAAAAGTTTTCTTTTGTTTGCAGTTAAGCACAAAGCTACACAAGTGCCTTAGTGTACTATGGAAACCACAGGTGTCGAAATCCCGTTTTAGCGTTATAAGCCTTCAGACTTACCATTGTACCAGCGTGGCATATGGCTTATAGTAAACAAAAAACTGATTTCAAAAAGTTAAAGAAAAAACGTACTGATGATCGTTTTCTAAAAATGGAATTTTCAAAACAACTTTTTTTTTAAAGATTTTGTTCTGGTTGAAACTAAATATATTTATTATATTAGTTATCATAAAAATCTGTATATTAAAGTAATAAGTTAGTCGCACAGTCAGTCATACGAACTTTTGGTTGAAACTGTAAATTCACGGCTTTATGCCGAATTATTGAAACAAGCATTAAAGATTTCTGTAAAACTACAAACCTTAATAACACACACGAACATGTATATGTTAAATACGTATGTATATATGTGTGTGTGTGTATATACTGTTAATTGATATGTTAACAATATTGTTTTATGGAAGACTAACACCGTCTAGTGGTGAAGCAGTTCCCGTATAACTTGCTTCATAGAACACCAAGCCCAATAAGAAATAGTTGATATGTTAACCTATGTTGTAACTGATAAAATATTACGCACAAACAAACATAGAACATTTGACTTTCCATAAAGTATTACTATCACTCAACACTTTACAAGACGCTTATCAACATATGATTCGCGGGTTAAACAGCTTGAACTCCATTGTTTAGACTATCAAATAAGCTCCTAACCCAGAATTTATGATTAAAGGTTAAAATAAATCTTCTATGCTAAATAACTTTGAAAGTGAAATAAAACCATCCCAAAGCACATGATTCGTTAACATGTTATATTTTAATTTTACTTGTTGGCTCGTTTGTTTATATCAATCGTGTCTGTCTATCGTGGCAAAAATATAAATAGATAAAAATTGTTATATTAGCCAATGTCATCAAGAGACATAATGTAAATAAACTACCAAATGTATCTGATGAAATTAACGTAGTAGCACGATAACTTTTAAATAAGGCTTCACAACTACACTCAAAATCTCTCTCTTTGTACGTCGTGCATTACCTTATTTTGTTTTTCAAAGCAGAGAATGATGTAAATTAAGCTTTGTAAGAAGGCCATAATAATTAGCAAGCCATAAAACTGTTTCATAGCATATAACAAAAGGATTTAAAGGTGTATGATTTATGATTAAAATAGTTCAAAGACTGTTTCTATCTACAAGTAAAGAACGGGAGGGCACGCATACAAAACAATATATATCAAAAGCAACGATATGCAAAACAGAGGGGGGAAAGGAAGACGCAAATCATCACATAAACACGAACTGAGTAAGTAAATAATAAATTAACTAATAGTTCTACAGAGATTTCTGTGGTTATTTCCATGCAATCAATGGTGGTCGGCAATGGGTTGTAATGAGGGCTTGCCCAACATAATGGGTTTACAACACCCTTTGAAAAAAAACAAGGGAACTTAGTATTTGAAATTTTTATTTCCATTTCAAAGCACGTGCATATTTCTACTTATGGTTTGCATGTGACTCGAGACAAAGCACTAATCAATTTCACTGCTGTAGAAAATGTGATTCCTGTAAACTATCCAACGAAACAGTTCGTGAAGGAAAAGTGTGCCAATTCTGTTCGTGGCATGTCCCAGAGAATAAACAGTTAGGTGTCAAAAACTCACGTACAATAAAACTCTCAGCAGTCAGACGCGCTATCAGCTATAAGAAGTTTTAACAATAAACTAACAGTAAGAGCCTAACACTTGAGAAAGACTTCTGACCTTAAACTTTGATTTGTATATTTATGATTCGTAGTTTGAGCCACATGAGCATTGTTTATCCATGACATTTCATTAGCCTAAGTATGTTTAGCTAAAGGGAAGCAGGCTAAAGGTTAACGTTGAAAAATGCTTAAAAACTTCTAACTTTGACTTAAATCTCTGATATCTCCTAATTAACGCCCTATCTGAATATAGCAATATATATATAGTAATTTAATAACGTCCAAATATAAAATAATAAATTGGAATCGCAATATATATATACACACATATACTGTGTATACAAACACCAATTATAACGTTGCGTCAAAACACATACACAGAAAACTATACACATCATATATTATGTATGACTTTACTAGTCAGAATAAAGTACGCTCATGTAATAACTTACATCAAATACGCGTAATGTAACAAGTAACGCTTAATTAACACCAAACGTATACGTGATTTGATATCTACGTTTTACCTCCCACTGCCTGTCGAGTAACACATGACGTTAATCACTTAGGATAAACTAAACATCATGGCTTGTCCAGTGTTCCAATTTTTAAAATTAAATACACTTTCTGTGATATGTGACGTTTCAAAATTCACAATAAACTGTATTTGATGTGATATTTCACTTAAAATAAACTACACTTCGTAGATTACATGTCGTTCAATGGTAAAATAATTTATAATCCCCTGAGTTATACTGTGATAGTAAACTGCACTTCATGGGGCATGTGATGTTTCAGTGTTCACAATAATCTGCGCATGCTGTAATAGTGACATTTCGCTGTTTGCAATAGACTACATGTATTGTGATATGTGACGTTTCACTTGCTCACAAAACCATATGTAATATAATATGTGATATTTATCTGATGTTTCACTACTCAGAATAAATTACGTTCTAACAATAAACAACACATCATGGAATATGTGACGTTTTATGTTCACAATAAGCAACACTTCATGAGCTATGAAATGACTGTGGTAACAATAATATATACGTCGTGAGTTAGAACGTGTACATTTTCATAATACAGTACACAATTATTGTTAATATAGCGTTTCACTGTTTACAACAAACTAGACATTAGCGGTTCAGCATCGTTTCGTTACTGACAGAGTAGCAAAACACATACAGAATGAGCTAAAAAATCGGGTTATACAGAGAGTTTATGAGCTATTTGGGTTAAATATCAGTATAGTATATGAAACTTTCCTGTTTCAATGAAATCACAATATTCATGTACCTATTCATCTAAATATTATATATTGAAACACAGATATGAAGTAATATGCAAAATTTTGTAAAGGTGTACAAATACATATCGTATATATTATCTAAAAGACGTTTCCTTCAGTTTAAGTACAGTCTCTATGAACAAACAAATTAGTTCCATCGTTGAAACTTGGGCGCCATCTAATAGCTAAAAAGTGAAGCTTTAAGTGTTATCCAAATATATCCATTGGCTACAATCCTACGGAAAGTGAAACACCATTCTATAAACAGGTTTCTATTTCATTTACGGGCTTCCTACATTATTTTGCCAAAAGTTATCCACGTCTCCCCTACAAAATCAATTTGTCTTTTTGGTAACAGTTCAAACTGCTGTTGTTGTAGCCATGCTGCCCTCTCGTAGTTTTCTTTCTATTATTTCAGTCTGGATATCAATATCTGGTCGGAACAGCTTCTTACAACGCTGGAAAGGCAAATAAAAGTCATCAATAAACACAGCTCACGATTATTTAAAAACCACTACCGAGTAAATAATACATACATAATAAAAAAACAGTACGAATTACTGACACGAAACATTTCCCAGAGAATGTCCTCTTGAGTAATCGAGGCAAGGTGTGGCTTAGTGGTTATTGTGTTGGGCTGCAGATCGAAAGGTCCAAGATTCAATATGCGATATGCCACTTAATATGAACCACACTTTCCACTATGGGCGCGGTATAAGTGGCAGTGAACCTTTTATACGGTTCAAATAGTCAGACCAAACCCCTGTAGGGGCGGGTGCTATTGATTGGCTCCTCTCCTTCTTGTCAATAGCTCAAACTTAGTGCTATTTAAACTGAAAATTACAATTCCATTCCCTAAGTCAGCGATATATCATGCAGTCTCCAATGATAATTAAACTAAGAAAATTTGCACCTATCCAGTCTCTAGGTTGTTAATAACGAGAATAAAAATTAGCAGGTTGTTCTTTTTTCGTTTATTATCACCTTTAAAGTGCAGGGGGTGGCCATAGTGATTAATGTATCGGGCTGCATATTGATATATTCAACGTTCGAGAAGTAATACTGCTGAATACTCTCTGAATTTTTGGGCGCATTATAAAAATGGCAGTCAATCTTATTTATGTCGTATTAATAAAAGGTTTTAACTGTGTAATATATTACAATCATAATTTTATTTTTCGATATAATTATTTCTTTGAATGTTTACAAACAATTAGTTAGTCATCTTGATGGTATTTCTTATGCACACACTTTAACACTTTCATAGTAAAATGCTTCCAGCTAGGCCTAGCACTCGTGTTTTGTTTACCCAATGGTTTGCTGGATGCATTAGGTAGTTTAACATACTATAGTTATCTAAAGACTGCACTTTCGAGTGCTTCCAATAATCTTTAACACAGCTATATCTTGCATATAGACATGTTGAAAATACCAATGCCGATCACATTGATAGTAAAACGAAGTGTGCTAGGCCAACATACGTTAGGCTTAAACCTAAGTACAAATTTAACTTAAGTTCCAAGTGATCGAGAACAAACAAGAGAAACACAAATACGCTATAAAAGAACATAAAAACCCATATGATGAAGAAGAAATTTCTTGAATCCTAATACAAACTAGTTGCAAAACCTATAAGAAGAATACGCTTACAGAGAACCCTCTAATGCATATGCGCTTTAGAAAGATGCATCAATGCCTCAGAATGTGAGCAAAATCAAATGTAAGATGAAACCAACAGTGTAGTCCATACAATAAAACTTGAGTTATCTATGGGTTATGTGCGCTCTGCCCACCTCAAGAATCTAATACCAAATTATGGTGTAATAAGCCCTCAAGCTTATCGTTGACCCACCGGAAGGCTTTTAGTTGTAAGGGTTAAATACCAAAGTTTCCAACAAGTTATTTTTTTGTTTCTGACATTAAGTAATTGAAGTGTTGCCTACATTTTAAAACAAATTCATTAATGAACCTTTATATAAAACTAACAACTTTTGTCTGTGTCAAGAGTAACTTAAAATTTTATTCGTGTATTTAGTGGTATACATAAAATTTACGAATATTAATAAGTTTTTAAGGTTATTGTTATAATGGCAAATGGGGGAGATGGCTTTAACAATTTTATGAACCCTTACTTTAATTGTCAAACATAGCTGTTCGTTGTAAAAATGTATATTGTTAGTATTAGCCTTAGTTTATATATACCCATATTAGTATTTGTATTAGTTTATGTGTACCCATATTAGTATTTGTATTAGTTTATGTGTACCCATGTTAGTATTTGTATTAGTTTATGTGTACCCATATTAGTATTTGTATTAGTTTATGTGTACCCATGTTAGTATTTGTATTAGTTTATGTGTACCCATATTAGTATTAGTGTCAGTTTTTGTATTAGTTAACACGAAACACATTTATTGGTTTCTAAAGTTTTGTATTTTAAGGTTACAAAAAGAATCATCACCAGTGAGATGCTTTTACCAATACAGAAATATGTCAATTTTACTGTAAACCATATTACTCACCTCTTTGAAGGTTCCCGGAGTTACAATAATTTTATAACTTGCGTATCCTGGAATACATAACATTGTGGATAAGGCTAACATCCAACCAATCATCTGGCCCCACCAAGGATACACGTATCCAATGTAATCCAAAGGTTTATACTGTACTAAGCTGAACAAAAACACGCCCTGCACAAACAGGGAATAAATAATTTGTTGACCGAGTAAATGACTTTAGATAACATAATGCATTGACATATTATTCGGTAATTATTATTAATATAATTATTTTATTTCTTTCATATATATTCTCTTATTTATGTCGTATTAATAAAAGGTCTTAACTGCGTAATATATTACAACTCTAATTTCATATTTCGATATAATTATTTCGTTGAATGTTTACAAACAATTAGTTAGTCATCTTGATGGTATTTCATATGCACACACTTTAACATTTTCATAATAAAAATGCTGAAAAGCTTCTAGCTTGGCCTAGCACTCGTGTTTTGTTTACCCAATAGTTTGCCAGATGGCATGCATCAGGTAACGTACCATACAATAGTTATCTTAAGACTGCATTTTCGAGTTTTTCCAATAATCTTCAACACAACTATACCTTGCATAATTAAGTAATAGTCATAGCCTTGTAATTATACCGTTTTGTAAGACTAAAATATACATAGATATTAATTATATTTACCCTTACAAACTAGCGAAGAACTCAACAGTCATAACAGCTTCAACGAACTTAAGTTATAAGGTTAAGTTGACTCAAAGATCAGTGGTTAACATAAAACACAGCATGAGTTACATTGATGTTTTACTTACCCCCACAGATTGCTAGAGTAAAGAATACCCTGCACAGAAACCACCACAAGCACAAGTAACATTCAATCATTTCTTTCAGATCATTGAAGAAATTATTTACACCTAAATAAACATGAGTTATATTGATGTTGTACTTACCCCACAGATTGCTGGAGTAAAGAATACCCAGCACAGTTTCCACCACAAGCATGGGTAATATCCAATCATTCCTTTCAGATCATTGAAGAAATTATTTACTCCTAAGTAAACATCAAAACAGTGAAACGATTTCAGGTTTTCATGAATATATTTACTCCCCCCTTTTACTGCAAATATTAATCTCACTTTCATAATGAATTACTTTTACTGCCTCCATAATAAATCAACAATCGTCATCGAGGCAAAGAGTTAACTACGAATATACATTGTAGCTACGATAACAAATTAAAAGCAACGTTCTCACGAAAATAAATTTAGAATGCCTCCCTTGATAATGAACAAATCACATCTCTTACATACAATGTTTTATTGTGTTCATTGTCACTTCACTTTAAATATATCAAAATAATGAAGCTTACCATATGACCACGAAATAGATACCACTTCGAAGAAAATAAGAAACAACAGAGAAAATCCACTGGCTGCGTAGTACTCGAAAAGTTGGAAAACATACATACCACCCTTGTAAAATAAAAACTTCGTGTTATAACCAACTCCATATCTCAGTTCAAACAACGTGAAAACCGATTAAAACGATATATATACACATATTCTGCTGGTGGTAGAAAAGCTCTTGTTACAAATGTTGTCTTCAATTTTGAGAAGGAATATCGATTAAGAACACAACACAATCTCTAAATTTAGTGCGAAAGTAATGAAGTACATAAATTAAACATAAAATAATGTTGCTGCTTTTATACTTGCGCATAAATAAGAAAAAATAATTAGGATATAAATACAACAAAAAGAAAAAAAAAACACTGAATAAAAAGACACTTTAAAAGCAATAAATGTCAGTCTTAAGAAAAGCTAATTCCAAAGATCCTCAAAATATGTCCCCAGTAACTCAGCGGTATGTCTACAGACTTATGACACTAAAAATCAGGTTTCGATACTCGTGATGAACAGAGCACAGATAGTCCATTGTGTGGCTTTGAAATTAGCAGCAACCAAACCAAACTAAACACAGAAATATTCTATATCTTAAACAGTTTCTTGGGCGTTTCAGTAATATGGACCCATCTTTTGTCTCTTCTTGTTCAAGTTCATCTGCTAACAAGAACCAACAACCGAGCGTATTTTAGTATGTTGAAGTTTGTTCATCGGAATATAACTGTTAATCCTCCAATAGAAACTTATAGCTATGTAACTCACATTGTCCACTCCTGATAATGTACATCGCCCCTCCCCACCTCCCAGTAACCTACATCGCCAATATTAGGTAACTCACATCGCCTGCATTAGGTAACCCACATCGTCTACACCGGGTAACACACGTCACTTACACTGGATAACCCACAACGTCTACACTTGGTAACACACACATTATCTACACTCAATAACACACATCACCTACACTAGATAACCCACACTGCCTACACTGGGTAACCCATATCGGCTACACTGGGTAATCCACATCATCTACACTGGGTAACCTATGTTGTCTACAATGGAGAAACCATATCGTCTACACTGGGTAACACACATCACTTACACTGGATAACCCACATCGTCTACACTTGGTAACACACATCATCTACACTAAGTAACACACATCATCTACACTAGATAACCCACACTGCCTACAATGGAGAAACCATATCGTCTACACTGGGTAACACACATCATCTCAACTAGGTAACCTATGTTGTCTACAATGAATAATCCACATCGTCTACTCTAGGTAACCCACATTGCTTACACTGGGTAACCCACATCATCTAAACTAGGTAACCTATGTTGTCTACACTGGATAACCCATATCGTCTACACTTCGTAATCCACATTGTCTACACTGGATAACCCACTTCTCTACACTAGATAACCCACGTCGTTTACTCTGGATAACCCATGTTGTCTACACTCAGTAACGCACATCATCTACACTGGGTAACCTATGTTGTCTACAATGGATAACCCACATCGTCTACACTGGGTAACTCACATCGGCTACATGAAGCGACTTTCATTACTACACTGGGTAACACACATCCTCTACATTGGTAACCCATATCGTCTGTACTCAGTAACGCATATCATCTACTCTGGGTAACCCGCATTACCTGCCCTATTACTGTTTACTCTTGATATACTACAGGTGATCTCTAAAACACAACGTTTTTCAATGTTTCAATTAATGAAAATAATAATGTAACATATAACATGTTGTTTTTATAATTACTTATCGAGTTATACTTACAACATTTATCGATAAGGCCGGATTTAGTAAAATAAAATGGTCATATGAAGCTTATCGTAATATCTCTAAATCATACACTATTTATGATAAAAAGTGTAATAAACCTAGTAAAATGAGAAAACATTTCCTTCCCGAGCTGCTTACCATTCCATCTTAGATTTACCAAAATAAAAATAGTTATAATAATAAAATAGTTGAAAACTTTCTGAACATTTTAGTAACTAAATTCATAGAATATTCTATAATTATTACATTGTTTTTATTAAAGTATGCAAGTTTTGGCTAACGATTATTTTGAATTACATGTATTTAAATGAGTAAAGTATTAATTAACAAGCAAAGAGTCTGTATTATATAATACATGATCAAGTCTTGTTGGCTATCGTAAGATTGAAGTGTTAGTATCCCAAAGGTTTACAATAACACTGTTCCTTGAATTGAAAGTGACAGTGAATGAACAACAACAATGTGAGGTTGATGTGGATTAAACACCTCTCACTGTGGGCAGGTTAGAAACTGTCAGTTTATAGGGGTTTTTGTTTGTTTTAAAGCAAACCACATTGGGCTATCTGCTGTGTCCACTGAGGGGAATCAAAGCTAATGTTTTAGCTTTGTAAGTATATAAACTTACCGCTGGCCCACCGCGGGACTAGGAGTCTTTGGTAGACAGACAATTCACTACTTAAACATGAATACATAGAAATATGTTGCTAGAACATGTAATGCTCAAGAAGTGGAAAAATTAATTATCTTCAGAACATGAGTATTGAAGTTTCGTTTCACATTATAATATTGCAGCAGAATTTTCTGTAACTTTTTGGTCTTGTTTAGTTGTAAAACGAAGAAATTTGGAAAGAAGGTTTCCAGGATGCCAGGAGATGTTGTAAAATTACCCTCTTCACCCTACTGTAAACAAAGAACACCGAGTTTGTTGATGGTCTGCAATAGTTGAGATGTCTAACATGCTGAGGTGGTGTAAAAATGGGCGTGAGGAACGCTTGTGACTAGGGGAAAACATTTTAATGTTTGTGCTAAATCAAGAGAACATCTTGCTTAAAGGTAATTAAAAATATAGTCCGTTTCAAGTCCACATTTCTATGAGCAGTGTGTCTCCCCCAGTGGCTCAGCGGTAAGTCTGCAAACTTACAATGTTAAAATTCTGAGTTCAATGCCTGTGGTGTACAGAGCACATATAGCCAATTGTGTAGCTTTGTGCTTAACAACCAAACAACCAATTATGTGTAGTGATGATTTGTCATGAATGTTGTGTTTCAAAAGAAATTTATAATAATTCGCTTCTAAATGTTGATAAGGAAGAATTACAGTTTGTTTGTTTCTAGTCAAGCAGAAAGCTACACCAAAGGTTATCTGTGTTGTGTCCACCACAAGTATCTAAACCCAGTTTTTATCATTATAAGCCTTCAGAGCTATCGCTGTGCCACTGTCATTGTTAAATGTATAGAAGTATCCTGGATAATCTATGTTGTTACTACGTTTCTTTGTTGTGTTTTCTCAAAGGACTTATGTGTAGTATTGATAAATATTTTAGTGACTGATTTACAAGTACAGTTGTTTGGTGAAGTGTCTGTACTGGAATGTATTTCAGTGAGCGTGGTTTCTAAAAGTGCCTTACATAAATAATTTAACTTTTATTGCTAAGATAACAAAAGTAGTTATCAAGGTACCTATGCGACACACCACTAGAGGGCGCCACACGTGTATCGACATCAGGCTTTAAGGAGAGGATAACATAAAAGAAATGGCACCAGAGGGCACGTTGCTAGGCCGCCATGACAGGCGGACATGACGCCATAGTCCCATAAAGTGGAACCACAATTATTATGAGATCATCATACATGTCTCAACATGTAATCAATGGACTACATTTAATTATGTTCTACAGTCGGTTTATGTATAAAACACAAATTCATTAGTTCTATATTTAATCACGCTTTTAATGTTTTTCGTGACCTTTTATATATAAATCACTTTTCAACCTAAACAGGATGCTTATTTAAATATCTAAATAACTTAACATGTAGCATACTGTTTCATTAGCTTGTCTTTATGCTATCCATATAACTGGATACTAAGAGTAGTGTTTCTATAAATGGAAGATGATGTGCTCATTGTCTCAATGTGTCAACAATTACTAGATTCAATTACATGTAAAACTAATATTGATTTAACACAATAAAAAGTTAACGATACAATATTTCATTTTAACACTTTTGTTCACCTAATCCAAGTAACACTTTCGTTTCTACAAACCCACAATTATATTTCCATATCTTTCATTTAAACTTATTAGTTCTGCAAATGAACATAAGGACCATTAATTATAAATCAAGTAATTATTTAAAGAATTTCGGTAACACGAATTATCTTTTCACTAAAAAATTATAGAATCCATACATACAAAACTGTAGGTACTATAAGCATCATAGTATATACAATTTACTGGATTAGCTTTTCTACAGATTATGTTCATTCCAACTCAGCATGTATTATTTTATATAGTTTTTAAATGACAGTGAACAGTTCTTGTACTTAAAAAAACGCATTATGTACACCAGTCAGTATCTTTAAATATTGTTAGGAATTACAAAAGTTGTCATGGCCAGCCTCCTCCTAACACGCATGCACACACACACGAACTTAGTTTATAAATGCAAAACAACCATACTTTACAACAATCAGTTTAGAATAGGCTGGTTCATTATTTTTTCTTCCATGTAGTAGAACTGAATCAGTCTGATTATTAGTGGTGAAAGGGACAGGATATTTATATTTGAAAAGTGACCCAGATTTGAATTAACTTTATACTGTTTGCTATAGAGAGATATTAAAATCAGGATATGTCTAAAATTGTAACCAAGCTTATCAACACTAATCAGAAACAGTTAACTCTGTCACCATTCGAGTACCTACAAATATAATTTGTTGTATGGTATAATGAAATCATAAATTTCCTACATTTCATATGTTGATTATTTAGTGACTTTTAAATTCAGGGACATACAAATACTCTAGTTAAATTATGGTGAATATTGAATTATGTAGAAAACATATAAATATGTAAAATTTGAACCATCTATTTTCAATATTAAGTATAATGTAAATACATAGAGAGCAATAATGCATTTTGAGTGTTTTTTTTCAACTTTTGTTTTCATAAAATGTTTCTCCATAAGGTCGTCACAATGTTAATGATCAAACTGAACTTTGAATTTTATCAGCCCCTCTCTTTTTAGTAAAAGGTCGGAATACCGTCAGCTGTGAGTCAATGAGGGTAAAGTGTCATTTGGTTATTGTATGTGTTGACCTTTCTATCGTTTGCTTTCATTGTAAATGACGTCAGATAGACAGAACATCTATACATTCAACTTTGTATTTCATACTTGACACCGTGGTTTTGAACACGTATGTGATGTGGTTACATCTCTACTGTACAAGAAAGTTCAGTTATATCTGTTCTCAAAGATTTATGAAAAAATGGTAAGAGTTGCTATTCTTTAATAGTGACCAAACACATTTATTAATGAGCAAATTGTTGTACTACAAAGTTTATTAACTAGATGTTAAAATTAAAAATAGTGAAACATGCATTATATGTATATAGTAAGCTTGAATGTTAAAATAGCTTCTTTTTCAGGACATTAGACATAAAATGTAAAACGTTATTGAGCGAAAATTGTAATATGTATGTTAAATCATCAAATCGTTCAATAGTTATAGGCGTTAGGTGTAACAAAATCTTTTCAGCAGTGCATTAAATGTGACAGTAACACTATCCAGATCTATAAACAGCAAAAAATGTATATCATGCAAGTTAAATGCACTGATTTTAAGTGTTACCATAATACTGTTTCAAATTATATGTTAGTTTTGAAATGTTTAACATGAGATAATTCAAATAAAAACTAGATTGCTTGTTATAGACTAGACTGTTACCATTCGTTCGAAAATGAAATCTCATACATTTAACATGTTGAAAAACTATTCTGAAGCTAATTATTTTAAAGTATGGTTGTTTTGTGTGTGTGTGTGTGTGTACGTGTGTTAAGACGAGGCTGGCCACGTGACCGTACCTTTGTCATTTCTAAACAATGTTTAACAATACTGACCGGAGTATATAATTACGTTT